TGGATTCTACGTTATATGGTTGTTAATCCATGATCTAACATAAAGTGGTCTAATGTTTTACTCTATTTTAAGTGTTTCTTAATCACATAATTGCATTATAGACAGTGTTAAAGGAGTATATTTTAAATGAGTCTGAATGGGGAGACATCTTGAAATTAAACATAAAATAATAGCATAGAAATCAAAGTTATTTTGAATTTTTCTTAAAAAAAATGACTAAGAAGGATGCATTTTGTAATTTCTCTATGCATTTTACTAGAGTAATTTTTACCAGAGTACTTATTTAATCCTTTTTGTTGTTTAGTTCTTGTCGAAGACTTGACCAAATATGTCTCTGCTTATGAAATATCTATTTTTTATTTATTTTTTTTTCTGCTCTGCTTGCTTCACCACTGCATTTACAGGATGATATGAACCTGTCTTGAGAACAGACTCTAGAGCTGTCTGAATTTTCAGTACAGCAAGTTTCTGACTCAGCTCATTATATCATCATTTCTGTGTAGCACGATTTCTCCTAATGGATATGCAAGGACATTTTGTGCTAAAATGCTGCAGATTTATTTGCTCTAGTCTGTATTTCTCCACCCTCCTTTTTGCTACTAAGCATTACTACTGTTGCCAACAAGATTCGCCCCCCTCCCATATTATATATCAACTCAACAGCATCTTTCACATTACAAATGAACAATTCTTAATATTTTCTGTTAGTGGATTTTGTGCTGAATTTTTTCATTCTCCTATCGGCATAAACATTTACTATATTAAAGCCCAAATCCCTTCCAGAAAGCGGGGTTCATCATGAGCACATGGATCTGCTTGTAGAACTGGATCCCAATGTATTCAATTTTTTCTGATATTAGTTTTACTGTATATTCTTATTTGAAATTTCTTTCTCCTATTTTATTGAAAGCATCATCAGTGGATTGCTTAATAATATAGAGCAAGATTGTGATCTTGTGTGGTTGCATGGGAGAAGAGGAGGGAACAAAAACCTTCCCTCAAGATTTGGACCATGACAAATTACATGAAAATGTGTATTTTCATATATTAATGACAGGCTAATTTGCAAAATAGATACCTAAGGTCAGATTCTTGATTCATACCCTAGCTTTTTTACAAGGCAGTTTGCCAGCAGTGCAGGGCTGCCATAAAGTACTTTTACAAGTATTGTGATGGGGGATAAGAGTTAGTGGAACAGGGTGTGCTTCTTTGCTCAGTAGGAGAAACATGGTTCTTTGTGGGATGGGTACAATTAGTGCCATCTGGACTCCACCCTAACTTGTGACCAGTGTTTGGCAGGTCTAGGAATGCAGGAGATGTACCATTTATTTTAGAGATGAGATGAATAAGAGGAATGTGACAAACTTACATAATATAATGAATAATTTAAAGAAGATAAGTCAGGAAATTGTATTTACTGTCTCTCAAAATTAAAGAACTGTGGGTATGTCTACACTACAAAGTTAGTTCAAACTAACGTCCGTTAGTTCGAACTAACTTTCATAGGCGCTACACTAGCGCTCTGTTAGTTCAAACTTAATTCGAACTAACGGAGCGCTTAGTTCGAACTAGGTAATCCTCATTCCACGAGGATTAAACCTAGTTCGAATTTACTAGTTTGAATTAAGGCCTGTGTAGCCCTTTAATTCGAACTAGTGGGAGGCTAGCCCTCCCCAGGTTTCCCTGGTGGCCATTCTGGCCAGCACCAGGGAAACTCTATGCCCCCCTCCCGGCCCCGGACCCCTTAAAGGGGCACGGGCTGGCTATGGTGCCCGTGCCAGGTGCAAGCCTGCCAGCACCCAGCCAAC